TTCCTGGAAGGGAAGGTGGTGAGTGCAGGGTCGGAGAGCACCCCAAGCCCCCCAGTGGAGGGGTCCTCGCTGGAGGAGGGTACCGGGCCCTTGGCCAGTGCCCCAGCTCATGGCAGAGGGGCTGGGGACGGTCCCTGTCCCCTGCAGCTGGACTCACCGCAGGAGGAGGAGGCACTGCACGGTCCCCTGAGCGTGCTCGGCCAGGAGCTGCAGAGGCTGCTAGACATCCACTGGCTGGCCCCCATTGCCCACTCTGCTGAGGAGGTGGGTGCGTGGCAGATGGGGGGGGCCCAAATCACCAGGCCACATTGGATGAGTGCTGGAGGGCTGTCCGGCTCCCATCTGTTTTTCACAGGAAAACGTTGGGACAGCCAACAAGGGCAGCTTCAAGCTTCGCCTCAACATCCCCAAGCCCAGGAAAGATAAAGACAAGGTGCCAAAGCAGAAATCCAACAGCGTCCTCCCAGGTAAAGGGGGTCACACACCAAGGTGGGAGAAGGGCACTTGAACTGCCCTGGCCATCAGTCCTGTATGTGAGGGGTGAAGGGCTGAGCCCCTTCAGGTAGGCTCAGACCAGAGTCCCTGGGGACCCCAGAGTCCTCAGTGAAGAAGGAGGGTCAATAAAATGTCCTGCCTCTGCTGGCAGAGAGATGACTCCACCAGCCGTAAGGGTTAGTGGCTGGACCACTGGCAGGGGAGAAGGACTTAAACTTGCCTCGCTGGCACAAACACACCCGTAATGGGGTATCCACCATGCAACAACCCATTCTACTGCTGTTTTGCCACCAGCCTCAGGCTGCCCCAGGCCTGAGCTTGCCATGGAGGGACCATGGCACACTACCCCTGGGAGGGTGGCAGAGCCCTGCCAGCCATGCCGGGGTGCCACAGGATCCCCTTTGTCACTGGCAGCATCTCAGAGCTTAACTTTTCCCCCAAGGCACATGCAGAGCTCTCCAGCACTGTAACTCCACTGCCTCCACTGCAGGTGGAAGGAAGCTGGATTCTGGTAAAGCTCATCCCCAGCCTGTGGGTTAGTCCCTGCTCCATGGCTGTGGGCCTTGTTGAAGGGGAGACGTGCAATGTTAAAAATACAGATGCTTTGTAAGTAAACTAAGGAGAGGAGAAAACTCCTCTCCAGCCTGAGCTGCCTGTGACCTCAGGCCCTGCCAGAGCTGGGGTGGGATGGGAGATGCTGGCTGCAGCATGCTGCCCGCTGCTGCCCTCAGCTGCCTGCTTTGCCTTGGCCAGTTGTGTCCAGCTGCCTCCAGCAGGGCTCACTGGATGTCTGTGGTTTTCCTCCCTGCTAGCAGACAAGTGGGGCTCCGAGGAGGTGGCAGCTTGGCTGGAATCACTTGGTTTAGGGGAGTACAGAGACATTTTTGTCCGCCATGACATCCAGGGCTCTGAGTTGATCCTGCTGGAGAGGAGAGACCTGAAGGTACAAGACCCCCTCATCCCCCCATCTCTGCCCCTGCCAACAGATTCCCTGCCTGGGTAGCACCTGTGCCCGAGCTCCCTCTTCTTCCTCCCCATCCCTCGGCGGGGCTTAAGGCAGGGGATGTCATGGGAAGGCACCTACTTACCCTGCTCCCCAGCACAAAGTGCTGCAGGGCTCACCTGGCATGGCTTGCTCATGTTTGCATGTGGTCAGCAGCTGGCAGCAGGGAGGGGTCTTGCTTTAGGATTCCTGGCTTGCAAAATCCTGCCCTCCCCCTGCATCCAGACATGGAGAGATGCTTGCACAGGGGAGGAGGGACTCTCCCTGTGTCCTCTCACGGCATGGAGAGATGCTTACAAGAGGGATAAGAGGCTCCCAGGAAGTCCTCTTGTTGGGGAGAGAGATGCTTACAGAAAGGACAAAGAGCTCCTAGGAAGCCCTCTCCTTGCACAGAGAGGTGCTTCCAAGGGGGACAAAGGGCTTCTACTGTACCCTCTGGCTGCACGGAGAGATGCTTGCAAGCAGGACAAGAGGCTCCTGGCAAGCATGGCAGCTGCTCACTGTGAGGCTTGACCACACACTCACACCAAGAGCAAGGGGAGCTGGACTTTACAGCCTTTCCTTTCTGCTCCTCCATTTCCCTAGCAGCAGGGGAGATCTGAAGCAAGGGTCCATGCTACAAGCAAGCCAACCCACCTTTCTCCTCCCTACAGGACCTGGGGATCACCAAAGTGGGCCACATGAAGAGAATCCTCCAGGCCATTAAGGAGCTCAGCAGCACGCCCTAGAACGAGGGCTCAGCATGGCAGCCGAGCCTGCGCACTGGGTCCCTGTCCCAGGACCTCTAGCCCCTAGGGACTGGTGCCCAGGGGCTGGGTGCCAGAAGGGGGGGAAGCCCAGATCCCCAGTGTGCCTCATGTGTGTGGAGCCCCCCATGCTTGCCTTGCTTTGTCTGTTCGTTCCCTAGCATCCCTGGAGCCACTGCTTCTCCCCAAGCCTGTGGGGCTGGAGACACTAATGTGGAGGTATGGTCTGGTAGGCGATGTGGCATGGCATGCCTCGCAGTCCGGCCCACAGTAGGCTCACTACAGGAACCAGAGGGTCTAGACTACTGTATGTAGGCCCAAGCTGGGGCCAAAGCAAGGACTCCCTTCCTCCCCCATGTGGGTATTTAAGCTGTGTAAATACTTGGAGAAAAGATATTTATTGCTGCTGCTTGTGTAGTGTCATTGCTTAAGTGAAGCAAAGGGCAGGGAGAAAGTGATGGGGACCTGGCCCATTCCAGCCCTCACCCCTGAGCTTCCTGCTCTCAACCCTTCCTCCCTCCAGCCCCTAAATGCTCACACCTGCTCTCACCATCTACCCTGATACAGCTCATGGCTCAGCATAATCTCCACCTGTGTGCCATATCCAGCACCTACACAGGTTTAGCAACCCCTGTCCCAGTAGCCACTACCAGCACATAGGACATGTACACAGTATTTTATTGACAGCTCTACATGACTTTTTTTTCCCCCCCACCCTCCCCATTCCCTCCCATTTAGTTAAAACAATCACATTATCTATATACATAGCACTCCCATGCCAGAGAGCACCTGGCTATTTACAGACTATTTACAGAGTCAGGGCTAGCTCTTCAGTATCTCCTCCAGCTTCAGCATGTCCATGGGGGTGGCCTTGGCGACCTCAAAGAAGACCCTGAAAGGAGTTGCAGCATCTTAGAGTTCAGTCCTAGTGCTGACAACCTACTGCCACCACCAGAGTGCCCCCAGTTCCCTGCAAGGCCCAAGGACCTGCACTCCTGATGCCACCCTTCACAGCTGCACTAAGCGAGCAGGCGTACTTCAGAGCCCCTGCCACTCACCTGTGTGAGTACTTGGTGCGTACAGCTTTCAGCTTGTCATGGGGTTGATATGTGAGTAGAAAGTTCAGCCTCTTCACTAGGGGATGCAGGTCCTGGGAGCGGTACCCACTGTAGTACTCCAGTGTGGGTGTCTGCAAAGGGACAGACTGGCTGAGCTGGGTCCTCCTTGCTAAGGCACACCCATCACCTTCTCCCCAACCCCACAAACATCTGAGGCAGGACCTCCCTTCTTCTGCTGGGCAGGCCTAGGTGCACCATCTGTAGCATAAAGCCCAGTGCCAGCTGAGCCAGTGTTGCCCCAGCACACAGGCCTGCCCCATCCTGCAGGGTGTCTGCAGCCAGGGCAAAGTTGGCTGTGTAGCCCCCCCCTCCCTGGGAGGGTGCCAGGGCACCCAGAGCCAGGTGGCACTCACCCAACCTCCGAGGTTCCTCATGGTGAGCGCCAGGAGCAGGCAGCTGGCAGCCAGCTTGGAGGGGCTTTCCCGGACGTAGTCGTACTCCTGCAGGGTCATCTCACAGAGGAAGCGGGCTAGCGTCAGGGTCTCCATGTTGGCACGAGCACACTGGAGCCAGGCAGAAAGGGAAAGGCTCAACCTTTTGAGCAACACCTCCTGGCCTTTTGGGGGATCCAAAGCATGGTACTGCCACAGGGGCCCAGAGTCTCAAGGCTGCAGCATTGCATAGGCTGTCCTACACCAGCACCACTGACCCTTGCTGTGGAGGACCTGGCCAAACCCTCCCCGCTGACAGGAGGGAGCACAGGGCTGGAGCACTGCCTGCCCAAAGCTGCAGGAACGCACATCTACACCCAGGCAGGCCAGACTTCAGGCCCACCAGGCTGGAGAAATAGGTATAGTACCTGGCTCTAACCTGCCTGGCGGACACTGTGGGGCACAAGGGTCCATTCCTAAGGGGAGGGCAACACAAAGGGTGCCTGGAGGCACAAGCACCCCATGGGTGCAACGCCAGCCCATCCTCCTGCTGCACCCACCTTGGCAAAGCGTCGCAGGAACCGGTAGGGGATGGGGATGTTGATATCAAACTTCAGAGTGCGGAGGATGCTCATCTCCATGGCAATGAGCTCTTCCCGCTTGTAGGCATCATCACAGATGTACAGGAAGTCATCCACACACGGAGGGCACCGCTCCTGCCGGGGCACAACTTGCTCAGTACCCTAACAGGAACTCATCCTGGCAACGCTTAGGGAATCCTACCATTTGCAGAAGAGGTACACAGCCTGGCAGTTTGCAGGTCCCCTAAAGGGCAGTCCTGCTGGGTCCATTACAATGTTCAGTGGGACATTTTAACAGAGGGAGCATTAGTTTGTGTTGTCTGTAACTGCCCCAGCCTTTTTCCTCCACTGTCACACTGACCACCCTCTGGCTCTAACTCCTAATCCTGCTTGCACAGGATGAACCCAGGTGTCCTGGCAGTCTCTGCACTGCACAGTGAGGACCCAGGTCACCAGTAGGCAGAATCCAGCCCACCTGGCCTGCATTCACAGCCCCAGGGACAGGAGGAGGTTGCACATGGGCAGACAAGCCACTCTGGCATCCTTTATCAGCAGTGGCCTGGCACTGCAGCTTCCTGGCCTTCTCTGTAACTCATAGCTACGGAAGGCTGGAGAAACCAAGTCCCTTCTGCCCCTAGCACTTTGATGCAGCACAATGCAAGGAGTCACCTCAAATTTGGAGGCAATGAGGATGGCCGTAGAGCCAATGAGCTGCAGCTTATCCCTCATGCTCACCACCTCCACCAGGTAGTGGTCCACCAGCTTCACTGCCAAGTATAGAGTCTCGTGATTCAGCTCGAAGTTTTCCTGCAAGAATGCAAGTGGCAGGAAATCACACAAGAGCCAGGCCACCACTGTCCCCTCAGCCTGGTTGAAGAATTCCCCCATAAGGGCCAGAGAGGTGCCCACAGGGCCAGGCTGGGAGTAGGGTCATGTAGGCTTGCCACCAGCCTGCGGTGGTGGGGGAAGCAGATCAGCTCTGCACTGGGGAACTCTCACAGGAGCCTCTAAGTGACAAAGCCCTGCATGCCAAGTGTCCTGACCCTTACCCAGGGCAGGGAGCTCCTCCAAAAAGTCATGACCCCTCCCCAGATCCATGTACCTGCACTTCCACCATCCAGTCCACCAGGATGGCTCGCATGTCCCCACTGATGTCTGGCTGCTTCTCCATGTAGTTGGGGAGCACAAATTTCTCCTATCAAGAAAGGGGATGTTAAGGACTTGCTAGACATCCCCTACCCCAAAATGAGGTGCAGTGGTGACAGGCCCACTGCTGCTGGGTACTCAGAGCCTCTGGGCAGCACCTTGGCTCCTCTCTGAGGGTGGGCAACCTTGCCTGGCTCAGCCACAGCTGCCATCGCACCCAGCACCCACCTCTCTCTCCCGCATATAGTCAAAGATCTCCTTGGCATACTCTGCACTGGCGTAGGGGTCACCCAGCTGCTCCTTGTCTATGTCCTCCACTGTTGGTACCTGGAAGAATGGCCCCAAGCATCAATAAGGGGCAGTTGCATGCTGCCAGCTAACCTGAGGGAAGCTGGCATGGCTCTGCAGGGTACCTGGGGAGGTCACCCCTTTAGGGTAATGCAGCTGCACCTCTAACTGTCCCCCCAACCCCATCTGCTTGACAGCTCTGCCTCCACCTGCCCTGCAGCCCCCATCCTGCTCTTTCCCACAAGAGACCTTTGAAGGAAGAAGGTGTGGGTTATATTTCCCCAGCTCCTGTCACAACGGCCCACGCATCTCTAAGGTTCAAAGCACCTGGTGCCCTAGTGCCGCTGGCAAGAGCCACAGGCCTGCATCACCAGCAAGAGCAGGATGAGACCAGGAGCCATGCTACACCCCAGGATCCCTGCCCACTCCTTGGGTGACTGTGGTACCTGCACAGGCGCAGGTTCCTCTGGCACAGGAACCTTCTTGGGCTCTGCAGGAGTCTCTGTCGGGGGAGTTTTTCTCATTGATCTGAACAGGACAAGAGCATAAGTCACCATAGGGAGGAGGCCCACATCTCCCAGCTCTAAGGGGTCCTCCAGCCCCTTGTTGCTTCAGAAAGTGGCTCAACAGTTTCTAATACGCCCCCATGGACCCAACTACCCACTGCCCACCCCATCCAGCTCCTAGCCCTACACAACCACCTGCAGCAGCTAGTGCCATAGATCAACAGTACAGCACATCCCTTCTCCAGGGCCCAGGGTACCATCCCACAGGCTCTACATCCCCTGAGGAAGTCCCCCCACTATTGCTCGCTCTTCCCTATCCCTTGCAGAGCTGGTTTCCAGGTGCTGACCCTACCGTGTCTCCCCCCATCCCTGTCCCCCGTCTCACCTGGCTACTCACTTTTTCAGGTTGATCTCGTTGTTCTTTGCAACCCCAAGGACAACTGGGGCCTTCTGCACCTTGCGCGGCCCAGCTTTCACAGCCTCCTTCTTCCCCATCACCGTTTGGCTCTTGTGAGCCTGTCGTGGGGGGAAAGCAGGTCATAGAGAAGGGTGCGTAGAGGGAAGCAAGGTGAGAGGGGGGTGAAACCTCTCCATACAGCCTGGAGTCAGACCTGTCCTCCCCACCACGGGGCACAGGACACTCTCCGCTCCATCAGCGCAAGGGGGATGCCCTGGAGAGAGGCAGCCCCGCTCCTTCCGAGGCCTCAAAGGGAGCACCGAAACCCCCTCAGCCTAAGGAAGCACTCACATTTGTGATGTCCCCAAACGCCGACCTTTTCTTGGGTGCCCCCTGAGGTGAGGACGGGGACCTCTTCGCTTGACAGCTCTCCTCCTGCAACAGAGGCTGTGAGACACAGCAGGGGGCCAGCCACCCCAGAGAAGCCCCCACACCTCCTGGCCGCAGCAGGGCTGCGGCCCCGGA